CAATCCAATTAGTTTTAGACTGGTGCAAGGCTTGATAACTGTGATCGAAGTGGCTCATATGTTACTTTTGGTGCTTGACACAGAGGGCGACTGAGTATTGCGGTTGGTGCTTTAAAGCTTCTGGAGAATTCTTGTACATGGAACATGGGTGAACAAATTGTTCCTGAGATGCCACATCTGTCCACAAGATTGAAAAATTGGCTGATCTCGAAGAAGTTAAATCGTGCTTGTGGTTATTCGAGCACACTCTCTAAGATTCTTGAAAACTCAGCCACACCCCTGGAGCCAATATGTAATGATGATGCCTTTGATTCATTGGCTTTAAAAACCTCAGAAACGTCTTCTGCTAGCAACAGTTCAGGATTCCGGCTCATCCCGGGCTGCGCTGACAGCTTAGCTGGCGAAGATTTGCCTGTTAGGAAAATCAAGACAGAAGAAGTCGACTTTGAAGATGAGCTGAAGCGACTGTCTTTGATGTCTAATCTGATCTCACCTCATCTAGATTTTGAGAAGTCATTTCTTGATCTATTGTCCGCCTGTGGACAGATGCAACCATCAAACTTTATGGACGCATTCTCCAAATTCTGGTATGGACCTAGAGATGATCTTTTATGTTCTAGCATTGAGTGTTTGTCTAGTGCTTTGGTGTGTTATTTTACGAGTGTTCTGCATTTTGGTTGACTCTTTGGTAAACCTTGGTTGAGAAATGTGGTATACTTCTCATATTGTTTAATTTGAGCCAATTATAATTATTTCACAACATTTCAGTGAACCAGAAAGCATTGTCAAGATTGGTGAAGGTACATATGGGGAGGCTTTTCAGGCTGGTCCTTGTGTCTGTAAAATAGTTCCAATTGATGGAGACTTAAGGGTTAATGGAGAAATACAGAAGGTATTTTTCTGACCTCACTTTTTTTTTTTGTTCTTCCATGATGGTTTGCGAGATGATCATATTTAGCATGAGAGGAAATATTGGAGAGGCCAGTAAGTGCAAGCTTTATTAATTCTAGTTAGAGAAGAACACTTAGATAAGTTAATCATCCCTAAGCAATGCATTGATGGTGAAGGAAATGCCTGCATTCTCATGCCAGCTGTTATCGGAACAAGTTATGGTTAATGTCATGTAAATGCTATTTATATATACATAATAAATGACATTTTCTTGTATGTTCATTTGTTGCAGAAAGCTGATGAACTGCTTGAGGAAGTGATACTCTCATGGACTCTTAATCAAATTAGATAATGTGACACTGAAGCTCAGAATTCGTGCCCGACATTCATAAAAACAAAAGAGTATGTATACCAAGGAACTCAAATAAGCTGTAGATGTCTGTTGGCTTTGTGTTATAAATATTATACCAAACTTCTGTGTATCATTGTTCACGAACCCGTGCTCATAATGTTGTTGCAGTATAAAAGTATGCCAAGGTCCCTATGACCCTATACTGATAAAAGCATGGGAAGAATGGGATGCAAAACATGGCTCTGAGAATGATCACCCAGACTTTCCAGAGAAACAAGTAAGATTCTTCTTACGATATTAGATTTCGAAAAGGTCTGTTTATGTTGGATGCTGTATAATCTGTAGAAATGATATTCATTTGTTGTGTGGTGTTTGCTTCCAGTGTTATGTCATGTTTGTTCTAGAACATGGCGGCCAAGACCTTGAAAGCTTTGTTCTTCTGAACTTTGATGAAGCACGGAGCTTATTGGTTCAGGTAAGTAATAGAATTTATTTCCCGTAACAGAAATTGAGTAAATGATATTTGTTTCTGGTTAATGACATGCGTTTCACGTATAAGGTCACGGCTGGCCTTGCTGTTGCTGAAGCTGCTTTTGAGTTCGAGCACCGAGACCTGCACTCGTAAGCTTAGTAATAAATTTGGTTTAGTTTACTACTTACTAGTGTTCTCTAGCTTGAAGTTTGTTGTTTTTATTCCTCTTTCAGGGTAAACATTCTTCTGAATCGTAATA